TCTTGAATACATTTGCTGCTTCCCCCTTGGTTCTCCCTGGAGAAAGACTTCATTTGCACGCTTCTCTCCGGAAAGCAGAAGTAGCAGAAGTTTTTAGGCTTTCCCATCAGCCAGTCCAGCTCCTTGGCTAACAGACGTTAAAAATGATACTCAAGTTGGGTTAGATGATTTGGCCACAGTCAGAAAAGGCAATGGAATATACAATCACACACAGGAAAAATCTAGCATATCAGAAAGAGCCGCATGAAGTGCCGAATAGATCAGGTTCATCCGCGTGGACCAGGAAGGTGCGTGAGAGATGTCACCACGGTGTCTCCCTGCACTGTCTGCTATGTATACACAATTTAAAAAAAAAAAAAAACAGGGATGGTCAGAGAACTTAAGATATCAATGAGGACACTAAGAGAGACATACATAGATCTAATCTACATGAAAAGTAGAAAAAGACAAGATCTCCTGAGTAAATTTGGGAGCATGGGGACCTTGGGGGAAGGTGAAGGGCGGAGGGGAGAGGCAGGGAGGGGAGCAGAGAAAAATGTAGAGCTCAATAAAAATCAATAAAAAGTGTATTTAAGCTAGGTGAGTTGAAGGAGAGTTGAAGCAGAATTGAAACAAGGGAGAACTAGAAAGAATTAGAACTTAGAAGAAAATCAGAGGACAGAAGAACAGGCAGAACAATAAAGAACGTGACTCAAGAAAAAAAGAAACAGGGATGGTGGATGTTGCTGCCATCTTAAGATTTGTTGTTTCTAACTTCTCCCAAATCCCACACCCACTCATTTGTGGATCTCATTATTAAAACCTTGAGCTTCCCCAGGAACCCCAGTCTCTCTGACCTTCACAATCCTGCCTCATGCACAGGGCAAACTGCCTTGCAAGTCCTTTCTTGGGGACCACATCCTGTCTGGGCTGTTCTGGCCATTGAGGCTCACTTGGCTGTTCAACCTTGAACACAGTGCTCAGTGTTCTGATTTTAGTCAAAATCCAATGTTTCCCGAAACCCAAGCTGAGCAGAAAACACATCCCTTGCCTGAGACCACCAGCTCTGTCCAAGCTCACTCAGTATTTCTGGGTACCTACGCCCTGCTTTCACATGGGGCGCTGAGGTCAAAGCGTGGAAGGGAGAGGAGAGTTTAGCAGCCTGATGAGCAGTGTCCAATTTAGAAAGTTTCTCCTTCCACGCAGGGAACTCAGCAAGCACCACCTGTAATCGTGACCTCTGACCCTGGCTGTTCCAGTCTACTGTGAAAGTCAATGAACTGGTTAGGAAGGGATTTGCAGGGCTGAGGCTGTAGCTCGGATATAGAATGTTCTCCAAATAAAAATCAAAAATGACGCTTCGCTGCACAAGCATCGGGTACATTGTTCCACTGTTGTCAGCAAAGACACACCGAGGAAGGAACTATCACTACGTGCTAGGGGAAAGAATTCAACGCAGTGTTTAAAAGTTATCTTTGGCAGCGCCGTGACCTTCCTACTCCCTCTTTACTGTTGTGGTTTTCTTTATGAAACCCTCATTCCAGGCATGGTTTATAGTGCAGGCCCATGGCTGCTCCTCAAGGAAGGGGAGGAATGCAAGATAGGTGTCAGCCACCACTCCTGTTAAACCTTTCAGGCCGTGGGGAACCTGTCACGATGTCACCTAAGTTAGTGAATGTCATGCCATTAAGTTTGATGGGAACAAAAGGGAGCAGGGTGATAGCAAGTTACCAAAATGATGCACCATCATTTAGGGGAGGTCACAGAAAGAGGGCCAGCCCAGGGCCCAAAGGGTAAAGGGTACATTACTGCAAGGAGCAGCTCCAACCCTGGAATAAGATTTTGGCTGAAAAAAAAAAAACTATACAAACAATCTTGACTGTTTATTATAGCAAAATGAGTATTAAAAAGAAAAAGAAAATATAGATGATACAGATATATAATATACAGATGATATAATAGGGAGACTTTCTGGACTGATGAGAAAGCCCCAAACCTACCAGCAGGGGAGTAGCAGGATCTGAGACAGGCATTCCCCAGAGGGATTAACTTGGCTACTATGTATGCTGAAATTTGAAGGCAGAGGGGCTTCAGGGCAGGGCCTATGGTCCATGGCTACAGTGGTGGCTTCAGACATGCAAACAGACAGACAGTTGGATATATACAGTAATAAACCATGAGGCAACTATATTAGCAATTCCTGGAATACTTTAAAGTCGGGTCTTGACAAAAACAAACATAATTGCTTTAAAAGATCAGGCAAGGTCAGCTGTGGCTACTTCACTTCCTATTCCGGGGCTCAGTGGACGCCGTTCCACATTCCATCACAGAGGAGTGCTCTCCTGTGTGAAAAGATACCGCTGGAAGGCAGATTCCCCAAACAGAAAGAAAATTGAAACTCCAATTTGACACAAGAGCCTCAATGACAACCCCAAGTATAGCAGTGTGTACTGCCAACCCTTGACTGCTATTCTGATCACGCTTGAGGATAAAATTATAAACAGAAGAGATATTTTTGTTGTTGTCTTTTTGTGAAATACTACCCAGGGAACAGTATGACCCTCCAGAGACAGAGGCCTGGCACTGGGCCCCTGGGTCCTCTTAGTGTCTTTGCCTGATGTGAGAGCAGAAAGGGCCACTGAGTGCACGGGCTCCAGGAAGCCAGCTGCAGATCTCCACCAGCAAACCTCATGGAGTCATCAGGAAAGGCAAGAAACAAAGGAGGGAGGAAGGGAATGGGAAAGAAGCCACACAGATAAAGGGGGATGCTGGGGCAGGGGACTGAGGAGTGATAACAGAAAATAAATAAAGATAGATAGGTAGGTAGATAGATAGATAGATAGATAGGCAGGCAGGCAGACAGACAGACAGCACAGAGATAAATAAAAATACATAAATAGATAAATACCACAGAGATGGAAACAAGAGGGTGTGAGCTACTGTCTAGATTCCCAGGAGGGCAGCCCCAGGTGACAGATAACCCTCTCCTTCCATCCCAAACAGATGCACGTGACCCTCCTTAGCAGAAGCCTTAGAACGGCAATTGGAAGCCACCTCCACTCGGAGGCCAGCTAGATATGCATGGCCCAGTGAAAGAGAGGGAGGAACAGCTTTCTCCTAGAGAGTTCTGGGTAGGAAACACCTCAGGAGGGAAACAAGTGATTCCTTGAAAGTCACGGGCAGTACAGGCCTGTGAGACATGGAATGCATAGTATGTTCGAGAAAATCACAGGTGGTGTCGGTTCCCAGACGGTGAGGAAAAAGCATTCCCACAAACACGAGTCTCCTGTCTAGATTTATTTCACCGCTCTTCTCGGAGCCCAAGCAATAGAACTATAAGAATTTTGAAGGAAGAATCCCTCTCCCAACACTTTTGAGTGGACCCTGTGAAAGTAGCATTTGTGCAGGCCAAGAAGAAAATGTCAGATCTCCTACCAAGGCACGTGGATCAACAGTGTGCATGCCTTTCAGTGTCCCCCTACAAAAAGGGTAGGGATCCCCACCCCCAGCAAGATCGCAGATTATTTCAGCTTTGAGGGTAAGGGACAAAATAGAGATTACATAGGTACTTACATAACCACTTAAAATGTTAAAGTTTAAAAATATAGAAATCCACCCTCAGCTCCCACAGGCATTGGCCACAATGTGTCCGTCTGTCTCCCTCTACAGCACCCAGGTACACGTGTTACCCTGGCGACGCTCTTTTCTAAGGCAGCTCATTTTACTTCTTGTTTTAATTATGTTCTTAAAGACTTATTTCTTGTGTATGGGTGATTGCCTGTATGTATGTATGTGCACCCATAGGTGTGCTGGTATCATCAGAGGGACTGGAGTTACAGATGGTTTGAGTCACCCTGTGGCTGCTCTGAAGCAAACCTGGGTCCTCAAGAAAATCGACTACTTGATCGCTGAGCCATCCGCCCAGCAGTAGCAGAGCTCTTCGAGGGGTCCCTGTTTGCCCCAGTGCTGCTGGCTTGCTGCTGGTGGTTGATGGGAATCTCTGCTATTGCGAGAAGCAGTCCATCCCCACGGCTTCTAAAACACCTCTGCTTCTAATAGCCAGGTTGACTATACAAGCGCCTGAAGAGGTTTCTAACTTTTCTAGGAAGAAAACAAAACCTGAGCTGTATAAGGAAATGGGGCTGCAGGGTGAAGATAAATAAATATCACTATAGGAAAAAAATGAGTGTGGGGGAGACATCCCAACTCCTCCCTGACCAGGGACCAACATTCTAGAGAGTCCAAAGGAAAGTAACAAAGTAAATGAACCATCTATACAGCTGGAAGATCAAAGGAAGTGAAGAATAAGACGGTCAAAGACATCAACAAAGGGGCAGACAGTCAGATGGGAGGCAGTCCCTTCTCTTCCTGCAGCAACATTCATCAGCGGGTAAGGGCCATCCGAAGAGCAACAGACCACTTCCCAAAAGCGGCTGGATGAGGGCCAGTGTTGAAAGACAGAGAGCCTTCTCCAGGGCAGTGTGTCTGCCTACAGTGAGCGCGGAGACCCACGAACCAAGCCATTCTACCCAAAGCACAGAAAACAAAGGCACACTGCTGGGGCCTCTCTAGGACCAGAGTGGGGTTTGGGGTTTTGTGTGTGTGTTTTTTTAATGGAATTAAAACAGTCACTGGGAAATGCTTTTAATTTGTGGCATTCCTATTGTCTTAAATGTTTTATATATTGTGATGAGAAAAGAAAAAGCATTTTAAAGGCCACATATGAATGGATACACTGAAATACAGAAGCATCATCTGGTCTGATCGAGATACTTGATTATAATAAAAATACTAATTAAGATAACATTCATCACTATCTGATATGAAAACCTTAACAGAGAACAAAACGTTCTTCTACGTTTCTAAATACTCTCATATATATCTTATGAGCGTTCATCAGGTTAGAGCCCTGGGATATTCTACAGTGAGAGAAGAGAAAGGAAAGGGGGGAAGGGAGGGAGGGAGGGAGGGTAAAGGGAGAGAAGGAGGAAGAAGACACACGTGCAGGGTGGCATACATACATGAGCTGCTTGGACACCGGCAAGCCTGTAGGTACCTTCTGCCCATAGCGACAGTCAGCACGTTACCAGGAGACTCCGGAACTCCCAAGGACTCTGGAAACAGTGAGATGGCTAGCTGTTTAAGGAGAGGACACAAAAAGGTAGAAATAAAACAGTCTTAGGATAATGATCGCGTTTTTTTCATTAAAATGCTAATGATGACCACCTCCTTCCAGATAACCGTGTTTATGAATTATTCATTGTTACATGCGAGAAGGAATCACTCTGTCCCTGCAGGCGGGCATGGAGCCTGCAGAGGGTTAGCATGTGGCCCCTGCGGTGAGTGGGACCAAAGGGCAGGTACCTAAGAATCACTGGTCAGGGAGGGAAAGTCCACCTATCCCACAGCATTGGGAAGATTGTGTATCTCCATAGTCAATGCCAAGGATGGAACTAGCTTGGCTTGTTGCCGTGACACCTGAACTAACACCCTGCCAATAATACTATAAGAACTCAAATGGAAAGAAGAAAATGTATTGAATTGGAGAGGTTACATGTCAAAGTGGGGAGGGAGGAAGGAAAGGAAGGAGGAAGGGAGGGAGGGAGAGAGGGAGGGAGGGAAGGAGGGAGGGAGGGAGGGACACTAACACTTCTGCACACATCAATTACACTCTGTACAGAGGTCCTTTTGTGTGCTCCCTTTGAAAGGTAACAAATATTCATATTTTTATGCATTTCTGTGGACTTACTTTCATTAACTTTTCATTTAAAAAGCACAGGTTACAACTTTACTTGAAGTCAAGCATTCCTCAACAAGATGAATAAAATAGCATCTCAGTTTCTAAGGATAGTGGTTCACTGGGCTGAGGGACTTGCAAAGAATGGGCCCGGTAGGGTGGTGGATGAGTGCAATGATTTGATCGCCACCCAGCAGAGGGCTCTAGCCCAGACAAGAAGAGGTCAGAGAAGGCATCCAGGAACAAATGGTATCTGACATGTCTAAGGCTGGGCTGGAGTTAGGCAAAGGCAGTGGAGAGAAACTGTATCATATGGCTTACTGCTCTTTGTCCCATACAGAATGACACCCATGTTATCAGACCAGGGAAGAAGACTGGGGCCGGCTGGCCACTTTGTATCTCTTTCAGAAATCTCTGACTAGACCTGGTTGGTGCCAGATAACTGGGTCAGATGTGGGTTCCAGAGGGTTTACTCTCTCCAGGTGGATCCAAAGGGGCACAGTGGAAGCAGAGTAGCAAGGCCAGCCCACTTGTTACAACCATGCAGACAGGAGAGGCAGGCTGAAGACCGAGAAAATAGAAGTGAGCAGGGAAGAATGAAACAAATTAGCATTTGGAAACATCTAGATGCCACAGGGAGAACAACTTGATCAACTCCATGCAGACTGATGGCCTTAGATCTAAAGTGTAGAACACCAGGGAAGGAATAGGAAGACCAAAAGGTCAGTCTGTAGCTTTAAAAACTGAGGTGTTGAAGATTCGAGGCCTGGAGAAGAAGACAGAATAAAATGCAAAAGCATTAAGGAACTCGCACAGAGAGGCAGAGACATAGAAGCAATGTCACAGATTCACAGGATTGTGGGCAGAGAGAAGACTACACCATTAGTACCAAGAGACACGCGCTAGCAAAGTCAGACCAGAAAGCCAACCACGCCCTTGTTTTAGCAAAAACTAGGTTACAGAGGTCTCCAGAGAAGCGCCATGGGATACAGAGGCAAATGAAGATCAAAAACAAAAATACTTTTGATTCTGACATTTGAAAAGTAGCTGGCCGCCTTGACTGAGGGCGGAGTTAGTGCCATGGAGGAGACAGGGAATAGCATCAATAGACCGAGTGGAGTAGCATGTAAGGGGACAGACCATTTTGTAAGAGCTTCAGGGCCAGTAGATGCACAGAGCTGTGCATTGAAGGAATTGGTACAGTGGCAAGGAAGGCGTGGAGAACCAGAGCAAGAAAAGATGAATTAGCTCTCCAGAGGCAGGAAAGTGGACAGGAGTTCAGATGAAGAGACTGGACGTAACAGAACAATCCACAGCCCTTGACACTGGAAGGAACATAAGGGCTAATCTGGTTATACTGCATCCACAGCAGAACTGGGATATTAGAGAAGGCACACCAAATGACGTTACCGTTCCTGAGGATACATGGGAAGACAGGTCATTGGGAAAAGCACTTGGGGTGAAAGCAAGAGGACTTGAGTTCAGTCCCTAACGCACACATAAAAGCTAGGTAAGGCCTTACGTGCTAGTAAACGGGGTAGGGGTGGAGTGAGGGGGGATGGGCAGATCCCAGGTCACTGGTCAACTAGCATAATCTAGTCAAAACAGTAAGCTTCAGGTTCATCTACAACTCCTGGGGCAGACAGAGAGACAGAGAATATCATAGAAGAAGATTTTTCAATGTCCTCCTCTGTCCCCTATATTTGTATACATTAATACTTGCACTTCATACACACACACACACACACACACACACACACACACGCATGCACGCACAGTTCTTTGTCAAGAATGAGGTGACGAGTAAACAGTGAAAAAGACAGATTGGTCTCTGGTATGCGACCCCTGCCCCCGCACCCAATGAAAACCATCCAACCCTGTTTAAAGGTAAACAAACATGCATGCTGGCTATCAAAGCAGGGACGCACATTGCCTGCTAGAATTAAGGCAGCGCATGGGTGAATGATGTGGAAGAAAGTGCTTCCTAAGACAACCTCTGGCTTTGGGCGCCAATGTTCCCATGTTCCCAAGGTTTGCTTACAGTTCCCTAGCTACAGTCAGGGCTCTGTCACCATCCGCCAGTCTTTGTGAGCCACAGCAATTCCAACACCTAAAAGGATACCCACCTAAGCAGCAACAGGCAGACACTGACAAATAAAGCAGGGGGCAGGGGTGGGGGTGGGGTGGAGATGACAGGGGCATGTGCTGGAGACTTCCTAGCCCAATGCCTCGAAAACTGACCATACACACCCCACTTCAGGCTTTTCCCCACAGGGTTAGGAATGCATGGATCAACTCAGCTACTGGAATAAATCCCGATGATAACAGCAAAAGCAGGAATGTTCACTAGAAACCGAACACAATGAAAAACACCTTGAGGAGCGGATGTGCAGTCTCCCGGGCAGTGTCTGACTGTTCTAGCCTTTTGCCTATTCTACAGAGAAATGCGATCCAGGCCACCACTATGGCGACAGTCTCATAGAACCATGTGCTCATCACTCGGGTTAGCTGCCATAGATCTAGCCGCCATAGACCATGTATCAAAGCAGCAGAAGCCACTAACTGGGTCATTCATTTTTGTATTCCTAGAGCACAGAAGACAGTCAGCATGCAATAAATGTGAATGATTCAATAAACCAGTATATGACTGAATAATTTTCCCAGCTAAAGGGTAAGGAGGCCTATTAAATGGTGAGAACAGAAACAGTCCAGCTGTCCTACCCTGAGAGACTCAAAGGAACACTGTAAATTGCATCCAACTACAATTATTTTACACAAAAGGGAGTCTTTATGAGTTCATAAACACATAGCACAAGGTTGGTCGCCGAAATTATGGGATGATGCTCTTTAAACGGGAAATAAGCAGAGGTGTAAAGACTCCAAGCACACAAAGGAACAGGAGTTGAAGACTACATCTGCTCACCTGCTTTGCTGTCCTTCTGAAGGACAGGCTCATCACTCTAGCAGTGTGGTGCCACTGCTCCCAGATGCTCAACCTCACAGCCACCTGCCTGGCTTCAACCCATGGGGACCGCAAGATAAACAGGGAGGAGAGCATCAAGACTCACTACCTTGAAAATCCACCCCAGGTGCAGCCTGTGTTTCTGTCCTAACATATTTGCAATTCCATTAGTTTCCCTTTTAACACATGAGCTCCGAGGCATTGCAGACCCTATGGAACACGGCTCATATAGTGTACAGAAGAACAACATTAATATCTGTCTGGAAATAATCTCAAGAACAGAGGTTCGAAAAGGGAGGGATAGTTTACCAGTATGTTCTACATGACAGGTTTGTTTGTCTGTTTCCCTGACTGAGAGAAAGTAACTTTATCCTCCCAGTCTCATTGTGCTCGTGATCAGAAATAATATGTTGTGAGCAATACATCCCCAACACACTATTTTCCAGGGCTCACGTGGAAAGCAGCTTGTACACACTGAGCTTGCACTTGGCCTTGGAGCGCACTGGCCGCACAGAAACAACCCCTTGAGATGGGCATTCCCCTTTCCACTCTCCAGAAGGCAAGGGAGCAAGACAAACAACACAGCACTCACTTGAATGCAAGCCAGGGAAGGGAAGGAATCTCTCTGCCAGTCCAAAGTGTTCAGTGTGCAGTTTTTTAATTACTGCATTTATGATACTATCCATAACATATTCCCCACCACGAATGTTCCAGCAGGTCATTAATCCCCGACAAGTACATTAATGTGACCCCCCCCTTCCTGCAAATTCTTATTGTGCTGACATGGGGCAAAAACGCTAAGAATTCTCTTCAAAGTAAATACTTTATGTCAACAGCTCCCCAAGCTACCACTGGTCCTCGCTTAACTATTTCAGGATAGTCTTCCTGTGCAACTATTTGGTGATACTGACCTTAAAGATGAATTTGCAAACAAAATTTCAATACTGGCATTGCCCAAGGAACTTTTTTCTTTTAAATCAGAGGAACTACCAAGAAGGTGGCTTGTGTTCTTCAAAATAACATATCCTGTGACTCATTAAATCACAATCCACCATCATCCCAGCTGTTACAACATGGTAAGAATTATGCTTTAAAAAAAAAAAACTCAAATAGTAAGTCATTAAGAATGGTCAAGATTTTCATAATAATTGAAGGGACAACCAGTCTCAGCACTAAACGGGTTTAACTTCAACCACAGAGGATTAATGTTTTTCTCAGAGAATTCCAAGTATGATTAATCATTGTTTGCTATCACACGGTCATCAATGACACCATTAATTATTTTGCTGTGTTGGAACATGAGCCCAGGCAATCTAAGGAGAAGGAACACGCCTTCCGTGGTCCACAGGAGCTGGCTTTCTCCCGCCATGAGGCACACAGGACAAACTGACAATCAGAAAGACCACTGAAGCTCAATCACCAGCTGCAAAGCATAGC